ATTCAAGAATCTTAGAGTGTCCCTGAGCTTAATTATAGCCTATGCTGTGACAGATTTGCCTGCAATGTCAATGTCTTGGAGCCAAGGCAGTGATCTGCATTCTACCACTAATACCAATGGAGGCAGTTCGTTAGCCCACTAACTGGTATATATGTATAACGCTCTCTAGCGAGTTCAACCAGATAAGCACTCTGTAAAACATAGAAGGCTTAACACTAGTGCCCTACAGCTCTCCCTAAGTTATACATATAAGGCCACATATGCCTACCTTACTCCTTTCGCAATGCGAGGTTTCCGCGACAGCTTCCTATTTAGAATCAGTACCAAGTGTGACCCTATGAGAAAGAATTTAGTTACCAGCTTTAGATAAATTTGGGCTTAGATTACATAGGCTGTAATCTATCTTAAGCCGCGGTTGACTCGTAATCTGAAGGCGATCATCCGATTGCGACTTTTCTCTAACACCCCTAAAAGGTCATTTACGTTCATTTTTCAGAGCAACTTTTCGGAGTGTCTATCTGCACTGAACACGGCCTAACTTAGCTGAGCTATTTCTGTCGCAAAAAAAGTTGTAGATAAGCCTTAATAGGTGGGACACAGCCCCGAGCTGATCTACTGATTTAAGTTATGCCTCCAAGAAAAATACATGATTGCACCAATCGAGCTGAGAGCAACTTGGTGTGACGTCACATTATTATGAGAATGAGAGTGTAAAGTATGATTTTGAAAAAGAAGAGGAAGAAGCGAGCAAGTGGTGCGAAATAGTGATGTAAAATTAGATTGAATTGTACCTACTCTTCAGCTTCTTAAATTTGAACGTACAATCGGTACAAGCACATTATTTTAGGTACATTTGGAACGTAGTAAAATATTGTTTCATGTAAGTCCAAGAGTTGTTATGGTACATAAGGAAGATGTAGTCCACCAACCATCAAAAATATATGCACATAAAAATACATGTTTACTGTTTAGGTACGTGTATCTACTTTGAGCTACAACTTTTCGGCAAATAGGTACAAGATGAAACCTTAATGTTCAGCAGTAGTGGAAGGTGCCACCTTTGTTTCGCTGCATCGTGTATTAAAACTATATAACCCATACATACGCACCATATCGCCTAGTATACCCGAATAACTGCCATTTGGCAACTTTTTGCCCCAATGCGCCGTAGCAGCGTCGTTAGTCTCATAGAATTTAGGCTTAAAGTTGAGTTTAATGCCCAGCGCCTTCATAATTTCCACCTCAAGTCCTACAAAGCTGGTATTATCTGTAGCACGTTTGACCATGGGCACATGCTCGAAGACAACGATGGGCAAGGAATAGCCTGGAAACGAAAAATATGTACATACATGAAATGTTATTGAAATCTAGGCAGCCTTTTATTGCAGCTCAAACCTTTCAAATTTGAGGTTCTATCTTCATAAAAATGATTGATTTTTATGCGTTTACCCACTTCCCATAGCATTAGACGTTTCGTCACCACTAATCCGTTCAATATTTCCGGATATGCAATGGTACTCAAGAGAAATCTAGACCAAAAAGAACAGTTGACTACCACTGATTGTTTGTCATCGAAACAACTTCGTACCTTTGCCCCTCTATTGGCTTCACAAAAATGGTCGATATCATATTGCTCCATATATACCACATATCGGCTGTTAAGAGTCGTGTGTCCTGCAGCAAGACATAACGCTGTTGCAAGTTCAGTATTCGATGATTCTCAATGAAGCGAAGAAAACGTTGCACCTGTAGCCCATTCAGCAGCGTAATGAATATAAATTCACAATTGTGTGCGCGTATTTTCTTCAACACCCGCACTGTTTGATAATTTGGTGCCAGTAAGTCCTCCCACGGTGGCACTTTAAGGAAATAATAGGCGCATGGCGGACGTTTGCTGTGAAAGAATTGCTCATCGTACAGCGGTTGATAGGTGTCATCGGTGATGACAACAAAACAGCGCTCAATGCGGGACGAGGACAAAAGTGTGGTGAGTAAATTGTGGAGGCTCTGATGGGGCGTATCGCCGATGTAGGATTCTATGATGCTGTAAGATTAAGGGCGACATTTATTAAATACACTTTGAAAATACATACGCCTTATAGATCCATATAAATACCTGATGCCCTCTTTATTGGCACTACAAAAATGCATAACTGGCAACAAAATTGGGAATAACCGAAATACGTGTTGGTACATTTTGTTTCAAATGCACGTCCTCAAATAGCCGCTTGTTCCAACTAACTGTTTAACTTACCTTGTTTTTACGAGTTAAAACTTTTACTTTTACTTTTACTTTGCTTTGCCGTTTACTGTTGCGCATTCAAATTCCAATTTCACCTTGTCAACCTTTGACCCAGAATACGAAATGGTGTTGCTGCTGTGACAAGTGACTTAAACCCATGACTGTATCAACGATGCGTGACCGCTTTTCTTTCGAGTGGCTGAAGAGAATGCAGTTGTAAAAGTGGATGGTAGGGGAAATATGGAGAACCCAAATAACGAAGAAAAATTGGGTAAAAAAAAACAAATACAAGTAGTTTTTAAGCAAACAAAAAAAGTGACTTTAATGGTGATATAAACTTTTAGGAGTAGCGTTAATTTCTTCATAATCCAATTCGGCACTAAACCAAATTAGTATGAGACCACTCTTGAGGTACCAGCTTTCCGAATTATCAAAAGCGGTTCAAGTGGTCCAAAATTATCCGGTAAAAAATATTTCGATGAATTGATAACTTTTCTCCTTTTGTGAAGTCGGTTAAAAATTAAATAGAGTGAAATAAAAAAAATATATTTTTGGAGAAAAAGAGTTTTTAAATGCCTAAGACCTAAACAGTACCGGTGTTAACTGGTATATCCACGTAGTTAAAAACCTTTCCAACTCCGCTTTGGATCGCTTGTTCGCCGTAGCTCTCTCTACTGATTCTCCATCGAACGGAATGGAAAAGTGGTAGGCTGGAATAACCCACCTTCAAGCACTCTGGCATAGTTGCGCGCTGTACTTAGGGACAGTTTGTGGTTTGAGGGCATGAGGAGGGCTGACTCGGTGAATGTCTATCACAGGCAGTCGTCTGCGCGGGAGCTCGATCTCAAGAACTCCTACAAGCTGCCGAACTACTGCAGTATTTTCTAAGCGGTAGTACTGACGTACATCTATACAGGGTTACGGGGCACACAGGCATCGCGGGCGACGAGGGGCTGGTAAGCTTGACAAAGAAGCGCTCTGTCGGAAACTATGCCGATAGAGGAAGGCGCGATTTCCATCTAAGCGATTAAGAATCCAGAATTATGTGCAGGGCGTATGACATAAAGTTCACGAAGTTTTTTTATACCTCCACAGGGAGGAAGCTAGGCTACTAGTGGGTGGTCTAATGGGGCATTGTCTGCTGACTTCGCATGAATTTAAATTGGCTCTGGCCAATCAAAACATATGCAGGAGATGCAGATTGAAAGAAGAGACAGTGGACCATATCTTCTGCGAGTGTATTGCTCCTAGCAGACTGTGTATTAGCCTTCTGGGAGTAGGCTTTCTGCCTAATCTGGAAGATGAAGTAAACCAAGGTGTTACAGTGCCATAATCAGGGATAGTGTTTGTCTCCTCCTCTGCCTGAAAGGGACACTGGTTGTTTTGCAGATGACAGTATTGCACCAATGATTTTCATGAGCCCTGTACTCAGGAGAATTCAAGTTTATTCCATTTTACAGCGGCTTCCAAGAATTTTAGAGCCGTTTTGGCTGCCATTGCATACCCTAAACTGATGTCTGTGCCCCCTTTCGCCAATTTTCCAGTCTGCTACTTTAAGTATTTATGTCCATTACTTGCGATTGAAAAACTATTATAAGTGAAATTACCTTCCAGACGCCAGTCAGCTTCAATTCCATTTTCAGCCTTGCATTGGTCAGTAAAGAGTTCCCAAAGAGAGTGGATCTCCTGCTTCTCCCATATAAAATATAGCAAAAGTGCCAATTTTGCTCCGATTTTACTGTAATTTTTCATATGTGGTATTTTTGCTACTTTTGTCACGCCCACTACACTAGGGGGCGGTAATGATAAATGTTATAACATTTTAACGAAATTCGGTTTGTATTTTAGTTTTAACTAGGAAAACTTAAATCAGAAATATGATCAAAATCGGCCTACTGACACGCCCACCAGTCATGAAAACCCCAAATTTTATTATATTCGGACAACATCTACCATACCTGTTCTTTGGTTTAGTAGTTAGCGAGGAAATTCGCCACCCTATGCCATTTTTTGTAGTTCTTCATTCCTAGGCAAAGGTACTACAAATTCCTAGGCGAATTTCACTGAAATCGGATCCCACCCAAGTTGGTGCAGAGTAGTTACATTCTCCATAAAGCCATTGAAAATGTTTTAATTCATATTCACATTCTCAACTCCGAAAGAAAGATGAAAATTATGAAAACCCGTTTTGAAGCAACCCTTGTAAACTGTTAAACCGATTCATACAACAATACCGACATCAAATGCCCTGTGAATATAACTGGTGCTATTTTCCTCCGGTAAAAGCTTTAGATCGTGTTACTAGGCATGTCTAGAGTCGAGCCAACGACTTCGTAGGCTATTTCGATAAATTACGAAAATAGAACCTTCTACCGATCTCGGACTACTGTGCGACGTAATTTCTCGTAAATGATACAGTCGGTATCAGTTTTTCACCTCGGCCCAAAAGAAAAGTTTCGTGTGCTGGCAAGCTTCAATACCACTCCTTGTGCCTTGAATACCGATCGGCGTACCACAATCCAAATGAACGCAGTCGAAATATTAGGGCTACAGCTATTTACAGCTATAAAGACAATAGGGGTATTCTCTGAGTCTTGCAAAGCCCTTGCATGGTGCACAGATTGCACGGATTGCACGGTAAAAACCGGTTTTCGTATGGGACAGCTTTGCAAACCGTGCAATCCGTGCACCGTGCAAGGGCTTTGCAAGACTCAGAGAATACCCCTATTGTCTTTATAGCTGTAAATAGCTGTGTTGTACTCATGGCACCCGTAGTGTGCTCACACCCACTCCACTGTAGCCCGTTTAATATAGAAGCCAGTTTGAACATTTTTGAACATGATTCGACGTTACCACATCACATCCGAATACGTTACGATCAGCTTCCAAACTACCATAGCCGATCTCATATCCCAAGTCTTACTAAAAGTACTCCGACCGGTCGTTTAACCTTCAGCTCGACTTAAGTTTTCCACGACCACTTCGTGTCAAGAGTTATTCCCAGATTAGCATTCCACCTCAGCGGAAGCAAAGCCAGGATAAGAAACATAAGGAAATGTCTCAAGAAATGTGTGCATGACGCACCGAAGACGTTCTAAAATTTTTGGGCTAGCAAATTACCGAGGTAAACTAGTAGCCTCATTTTCTTAAGAATATCTTTTTCAGACCTGATAAAAAGTCTAATAACTAGACATTTATTTCAAGAAATTAGAATATACGCCTAGTGTATTATGCTACTAGTGCATAGGAATGCGAGTTGTTACCCATTATACACCGTTAGTAAATAAGTATTATTATAGGTCCATCCCCACCCGCTAGTTATCCGCACTCAATGCGTTTCTAAGACAGCACGACGTGGCTCCAATCGAAGTGAAGTAAATAACAACGGTATTGAATGCATAAAAATAGACGTTGACACACAAATATTTTAGCTTTGGAAATTCCAGCACAAAGCATAGCACAATTAAATCAGAAAATCATATTTCTTATACCACATACCTACATATATTATTTTTCTGCCTAATACAACGCGGAAATATGTCCACCATAGAAGATGAGGAAGAAAAGATAAATGTCCAATCACTGCCGGACACTAAAGCTCGAATGCTAGACATTACACCGGAACAGCAGAAACATTTGAAAGAGGTGCTTGCACAAAATTTGCAAGAAAAGCAACAGCACGAGGAGGCGTGGCAGTCGGGGCAACAACAACCCGACTCTGATGAGCAGCGGCGGCAACAAAAAGTTAAGAAAGAAGACCAGCAGCAAAAGAAGAAAGAAGCGCGTCGGCGCATTAAAGATACGTGCGGTAGCTGTCCGGAACGTTTCTTTGGCAGCAAAAAAACCATTGTCACTCAAGACTCTGACTCAACAGAGGTGGAATCATCGACGGAGGAAGAGGAACGTTGGAAGGACATTGCACGCACCGCCGAAATACCCGCTGATTACTATAATATACAAAAGTTAATTAAATACATTAAGGCGGGCAATCAAACGGCCACCATTGTCTCACTTTGTTGCCTGCGCGACTACGATTTACGCACACAAATCAATCAAATGGCCGTACAGGACATAGGCGGTTTGGAGGTGTTGGTCAACATACTCGAATGTAATGATTCACATTGTCGCCTGGGCTCGCTTTACGTACTCTCTGAGATCTCATTAAATATCGATATACGTAAGACTATTGTCGATTTGGGTGGCATACCGCTTATTGTAGATATATTGAGTGCACTGTCACGCGAACTAAAGACAATGGCTGCTGAAACGTTGGCTAATGTGTGTAAGGTACGATTGGCTAGGAAATATGTACGCACTTGTAATGGTATACCCAAGTTGGTGGATATGCTGGATGTGAGCTTGCGGTGAGTGTTGAGGTTTTCTGGTGACGCATGAAATGTTTGCATGTAATGATTTGGTTTTTTTTCTTTTTAAGTATACTCAAAACGCCACGTGAAGAACTCAACACAAGCGATCTGGAGTGTTTGAATATGGCGCGTGCTGGTGCGCGTGCACTTTGGTCGCTATCGCTCTCGCGCCACAATAAGGAGCTGATGCGTAAAAGTGGCATCGTACCATTGATGGCTCGCTTACTCAAAGCCTGCCACACCGATGTTGTTATACCCATTATGGGCACGATACAAGAATGCGCGTCGCAGGTAATGTCTAAGGAAATACTTTATAAGTAGATAGTTTCTTTCAGATATTTAAATTAAGTTCGAGCAGGGAGAAAGGTGAAATTGCAACAGATTAACAGATCGTGATACTTAGCAGATATCCGGTCTTTTGCAACTGTTGTTAGAAAGTGATTTATACTTTTCTTCATTTCGTAACTGGAGAACGCTAAGTTTGACCTAAATGAAGTGTTCATGCATTCATGTATCGTATACTACAAAAGCCTTTCTGTCTT